TTAGTTGTCTTTTTACATTGCTGTCTGTTTTGTCTTAGTTAAAAGAATTTAAGTTCACTGGAAACATTCACTTGTGGCATTGCATTTGAGTCCACCATTGTGAAATCTTGACACAATGTACACAATTCTTAAAACAGAGTATAGATGCACTGGGTGTATGACAATATGTCTATTTACTCACAATGGTACACAATTCTTAAAACAGAGTATAGAGACCCCTGGCACAATGAATACAGTCTGTTAAAGAATAAATTGTGTTGTTTTCTGGTGGCATCTCACTCAGTGACATCACAGCTAATTAATTCCATCAGCTGTCAAAAGCAGCGTGCCTAGAGCTGATGCTTAGAAAGTTTTAAAGTGCTGCTGGCATCCGTTTTTGCAAATGTAACTACTGGAGCAAGGATTAACACGGGTGCTCTGGATGACTCATCGTATACCTGCACATGTTCAGTGTCACAACTTTAAAATGCAACAAACGCTCTGCCTGGGGCCAGAATTACAATGCCAGTCACCGCCAAATGCCTATAGCTTTTTTGTCTGGGCTTGACAGCAAGTCACAAAAATATCTGTTACTGACTTTGAAAATCTTACTGACTTTGTGAATGTACTTTAAAGCCTGTAATATAGCAAAGTTCAAAATCAAACAATAATAACAGACAACCAAAAAACAAAAACAAAAAAAATGTTAATCTAATTGGTTTTGCAACAGTTTTGGTTTTGCCTCTAGTTTTGTGCTAGAGGCAAGAAGATATATAATATATGCAGTAACATGGCTGAAGCTATATAGCTCTAAACTCTAAGTAAAAATGTTATCATGTATATAATTAAAGAATGTTTAACAGTACTGTTAGTGATGTAGAAAAGGAAAGCAGGAACTGCTGCAGTTTTGTGCTAGAGGCAAGAAGATATATAATATATGCAGTCAATGAAGTTAGACTGAAGGTCCACCTGTGGACCCTGCAAAGAGCCATGCATTACATTTCAATTCAACTGTATTTGCTTCATGCCTCTGCTACAGTACTCTTGCAGGACTAGAGAATAAAATGATTTCTACATCAAGAGCTGCTGAACTTCTATACTTACAGGCATGACCTAAATAGTAGATTTTGCAGGAGCTCCACTGTCAAAATGATTTACAACACTACTGCAGGGTGCTTTACCTGTTACTTTCTTGTAGTAATTTAGCCCATGATTTGTTCTCATGTTTTCTACTTCTACTGCATTGAAAAATTCATTTAACCTTCCAGGATGTAAGAGGAAACAAATTCACCTGCTACTCAGATGTTTAAGCTGCAGCTATTTCTGACAAAGGAAAAATTCTCCAGAAATATTATTGGTTTTGTTCTAAGTTGCAAAGCTAAGTCTGTGGTTTTACTGTGTTTTTTTGATTTGGTGTGTATTTTAACAGTTTCATTGTGCACAACCCTGGGAAGTGTTTGAGTTACATATGCTGTACTGACTTGTTTAATATAATCTTAAGAAAGATTTGTTACCTAATATTAGATGCGACAACTTTACTTAGGTTTATCTTAATGTGTTATTACATTTGTTGTTTAATACATCGCAAATGTTGCATAACACAACATCTGCAGCCCAGTCCAGCCTAGTGCCTAGCAGGTAATGGGTTGGTGATTTGTTCTCTCCCACACCCATACCTTTAGTGAATAATAACAGGACAGCTTTTGGTGTAAAAAACAGATGTGACGTGTGACAAACAGTTTCTGACCGTGGCAGCGATGTGCTGAACTGGAGGCGAGGAAGGGCAGGAATGACCTCCACCAAACAGCCACTAGTCTTAACACCAGGCAGGCCCTCGACGAGGCAGTCCCAGTGACGGGGTACAGGCCAGACTCGGCAGGCAGGGACAGCGCAACAGGCAGGGACTCAAACTCCACTCCAGACGTCAGCAAACCCTGAATACAACATCAAATATGACAGGGAATGACATTCCTCAGAAGAAGCCAAAACTAAACTTTCAAAAAGGAGGCAAAAGTACAATACATTCAATTTTCAATAAAATATGGAACTTCTAGGATGAGTCATCTTAGATGAAAAGGTCAGGATAAAATATATTGTAGTGTGAAACCACACAAACTATGAGTCTATGCACTTTTTATAAGCACAAACACAAAAGAAGGCCATAGCTGTGAAACGTTTCTGAAGAATTATTATGAGAAAAGTGTAAAATTCTCTACATCCTGTGAGGAAAAACACTTCTGACACAAAGACCGTAGTGGGCAATACAACAGCAGCTAGGGTAGCCTACTGAGAGGAAAATGACAGTGCACTGCACAGATATCATATTTTTTACCTGGAAAAAAAAAAATGGCAACGGCGTGTCAAAACCAATGAAAAAAAAACTACAAAACATCAACAATAGATCTAATCTCACAGCTCTTTGTGCACTCTGTGACAACATGGCCACTAGTCAAAAAGCAGAGCGATGTGCAGCTGTCTGCTTCTCCACTAACAGTTGAACTATGTCTCCCGCTATTTCAGGTGATCCGTCATCTTAATCTACTCATGGTATCCTGAAGATTAAAGCCCTGTCAGCATGAGATGGCCATTTCCACTGGAGAAAATTGTTCCCCATGGGAAATGGCCACTTCAGCCATGTACTGCATGTCTGAGAAGAGATTGACAGTAAGTCTTCAGATCCACAACACTGAAGGAAGAGGGATCAGAGTGGTTTCAAACTCAGCAGTCCAAATTCCCACTGGGTGTTGCAAAGACCAGATGATCTCATGCCAAGGTTTTGAAGCATTAGAAATTCTTGAGCTAACCAGGGTTCACTGGAACATTTCTGAATTGAATTTAAATCAACTCAGAAATACCAATTATATAAAAGATTTTCTCTAAGAACAACTTCTAGTTTTTTTTTACTATTTAGTTTTGCATATCATTTTTAATGGTTATGATAGCATTGTTACAACAACGCAGCAAGATAAGCAGACAAGTTGCTTCTTAATCCATCAGATTTGATGAGATGCTGCTGCATTCTGAAAAAAAAGCACACTCATCAGTCAGAAGTTGAATCAGGTTCAACTTTTTTACCAAACTGAAACCTGACCTCATCTGGCCAATCAAATACCTGCAGGTGCACATTCAGGATGGATGACTTTGTAACATGGATAGTGTTAACCTGAACATTAAACTGGTGAAATTATTGATAACTGATAACTTTCCAGAATGATATAATTCTGTGCAAGGATATTATAAATCATTGTTATGGCATCTGATAAGCTATTAAACTCATAAATCTGTTACTCAAATTGGACTTCCTGGATAACGCCGTTCTTTGTACCTGAAGCAACACAATACAACCAATACAGTCTCTTGTGTTGTTCCGATGCAGCGCTGGAGAGCACAGCCATGCCGATGGTGCTTAGGCACAGCAGTGATGTGAATTAAATGCTAATGTCAGCAATGTTAAATTGTCACAGTGAAAATGTTAACGTGCTGATATTTAGCAGGTATCATGACAGCTATCATTTTCACTCCTTTAGTTAAAGCACCTCAGCATGCTAATATTTGCCAATTAGCACCAACTCCGAATACAGCTAAGGCTGATGGGAATGCCATAAGTTCGGTAGTTATTTGGTCATAAAACCAAATTCATATTTTGTCTAGATCATGGCGCTAGATGAAAAGTGAGGGCATCACCGAAATGCCTTTAGAATTTATCATGTAGGGAATCTAAATATTTGTGAAAGAGTTCCAGGCTGTCCATACAGTTGGTGAGACACTATATACCTCAGTCTGGACCAAAATGGAGGACTGACCAACCAGGCAACAAAGCATACGACCAACCAACAACGCCCTGACTAGTGCCACACTGCTTAACCACCCGTGTCATGTGAAACTAGCAAGCAGGACTGAGAATTACGTAGTTTCCCAGCAGGAGGCAGCTGTTACAGCCTCGACTAATTCAGTCACCTACAATACAAAATGCTTTCTTAAGAAATACAACTGAAACACAGCATATGGCCTTATCAAATTGACTGCACTGACAAAAACAGGCCAGATCACCTAAATGTCATTTCTAGTCAGAAAAGCCCTGCTGTGTCTGTGAAGTTTGCTTTGAATGCGTAATCATGTCCCCTAAGAATAACAGTATTTACATTCCTAGTATGCACTGCCTGGTTGCATGAGGGAGACTGTGGTGACGTAATGACTGCATCAATCCCCAGCAGCAGACACTACCTCACTAGAGGGAAGGCTTCTGAAGAGCTGAGCCTCTGAGGTGCCACAGCTGTGATTTAAGCTCGCCTTGTTTTACCACTACGACAACAGCATACTTATTATTTATGATAATGATTATTTCTTTGTCCTGGCACATAAATGCCTATCTGATAGCAACAGAAAGTCATGCAGACAAAGCAAAAAAAGCAAAAAACAACAACGATTTCCAGGACTGACACTTGTCTTAGAATTCATTTGAAATGTCAACACTGCATATTTAATAAAACCACAACCTTTATTGCTATGATAATGTAGTAGTTTCTTGTTTTATTGTTGAAACAAAAATGATGAATCCATCTTTACTGCAAACTACCCAGCTGACCTAAATTCAGTAAAATGAGAGACAAGACTGGATGCATCACTTAGCATTTGGAGAAAAGGCAAAAATACAGAAAGTATCTGTGGGGAGAAATAAGACGGCGAACCTTCTGAGGATGAAAGGTGGATGGAGGGGTTGTGGTAGAAGGCCCCACTCTAATAGAAAATTTAATAAAGCACAAAGCAAAGCTGTGTACCAACACTGAAGTCAAGTGGTGACTGAGAAGGAGTGCCTATCTTGCTAAACTGCAGGGTCACCGTGACAGAGGATGAAAAGGTGACTGTGTGTGTGTGTGTGTGTCTGTGTGTGTCTGTGTCCCAGTGAGTTTCTGAGAGCTGGTTTATGTACAGTAGATAGATTGTTGCTCTGGTCTAATGGTAGTCGCTATGTCTGGGGTACAGAGGAGCTTGCATCGCCTTCTCCCTCTCAGCTTCTATGGAGCTGTGAGGGGCTTCAGCTTACCCGCAGGGGAAAAGCCAGTGATCACTATTTGACTTTGATCGTCATCTGGCAGCTCCAAATATTTTATTTTGAACTCTTCTGAACCTCAGTACACATTAAGTCTGCAACATTCAGTTACTTTTGAGCGTGCCCAGAACAAAGCACCAACCTTACAGGTGATCATGCCTTTGCGGCTGCTGCTCCCAAGCTATGGAATGATTTACCACTACCCATCAGACAAGCCTCTTCTTTGCCTGTTTTTAAGTCTCTTTTGAAAACTCATTTATTCTCGTTGGCATTTTGATATCTTATATTGGTGTTGATGTTATTTGTACATGTAAGTTGTGTTTATTTTTAATGTATATTGTTATTTACACCGTACAGCACTTTGGTCCACCTTGGTTGTTTTTAGTGCTTTATAAATAAAGTTGGAGTCGAATGGAAAAGATGAGTCCCATATGTTCCACTGAAAAGGTTAGGGCTTCCTAATTTGTATTACATCTTAAGACTTAGATAATGCGATACAAAGAATGTGATGCATAAAAATGCTTTAGAGTCGTTTCTTTTGAAATGATTGCAAAATGACAGCTGCATGCATTAGCTGTGTTGCAGGGCAGCTAAATCAACCAGCGAGAGCTGCCCGAGTCTAAGTGGCATCACCTGTGAGACAGCCACACACAGTCTCTTGCCATAGAACATTCTCAACAATTTGTTCTGAACCTTATAAATAATTAAAGGTAATTACTGTAACTGTACATTGAGTGTGATGCTGCTATGGCTGTCCAACAGCTGTAGGTAGACCTCTCTCTGCTGGCCTTTTACTGGTTGTCCCACATTTCAGTTTTCATAAACAGACACAGCAATGACCAGGAAACAAGGTAAAGTGGCTCAGCAAGTGTGAGTGTGTGTGTGTGTGTGGGTGAATAACAGATATATTATGCACAGAAAAGGTGAGCAAATGGTCTTGCATTTACGTCAATATACTGCAGAACCTCTGGTCTAACAGGTTGGTGTGTGAAACCATTAAAGTAGTGCCATCACAGAGGGGTGTGTCTTTCTCTAGTGATGCTTACTGTCAAGCGCAACAAGCGTTTGTTCTCACCATCTCATACAATCACATGGTATCAAACCGTCAAGAAAAGCTTTTAAGGGACCCTAATTGGGCTATCAAGGATGGCTACAAAGCACTGTCACTTTCCCTGTTTAATGCTGGTGGGTGCAGAGGGACTGTTTGTACTACTACTGCAAGAAAAACATGTCAGCAACCTCCTTTTACACAAAGCTGTGAAAAGAATCACAAAGTAAAATATTTAAATCACTGATTCCCCTTCAAAAGTAAATTATCAGTAAATCTGACGTTTAGGAGCAATACATTTCACCTACCATGTTCTCCACTCGAAGTTCATAAGGCATAGGGTTGTAGACCATGAACTGCACTTCACAGACATCTCCCTGAACCCACTGGAAGTCTGAAAAAAGAGGATCAGACATGAATACATTAAAATCAGTGGTATTAAAACTCATTTGCAATCAATGCACAGGCATCAAAACATGATAGATGCTGTACATTTTTAAATGTTTTATAAATTTTGAACCAAACCAAAGATGACTGAATGCCTGTAAGGGAATCCACTTCAAGGTGTGCTTCACGTACAAAAGAGACAGTTCTACATTTTGCCAAGAGTTAGCGGTGAAGACTGCTACCACCCTTAAATTTGTTTGTTCAATTTGTAAAGCTAGAACTAGCAGACAGTTAGCTTAGCTTAGCAGAGACACTGGAAACAGGAGGAAGCAGTCAATCTGACTGTGAGGTATCAAGATCCGCCCACTGGCACCTCTAAAGCTCACATACTGTCATGTCATAGATGTACAATTTATCTGTAATGAAAATGTGTGCATGTGAAAGTGTCAAAATGAGAAGTTGCGATTTAAGGCCTGATTATACTGTATACTATATCTTCTTCTTGGCATTTTTTTTATGAGCAGCTAACTCCATTTCGTTGTTTGTACCGTTGTGTGCATACAATGACAGTAAAGTCTTTCACTTCACAAATCCCTGCCACCACCTTCCACACTCTGTGGAACACCTTCTCCATTACAGCACCATATAAATTTCAGTGGTTTTGCAATCAAATGTTCAACAATCATATACAGGTGTAATGTTGAGGTGTATACAGTCTTATGCAAAAGTTTAGGCACCCCTTGATAAATAACAGATTTTGGTGATTTTTTATTTGAACAGATGTTAACACAGTTTCTCTTGGAAATGGAAAAAATGCACAATATTTTCAGCAAACAGTGATGCATAGTTACTTCTTATGCCATAAATTGAACAAAAATAAAAAATAAAAACATTATTATGGCATGGTGCAAAAGTTTGGGCACCCTACACAATCAGTACTTAGTAACACCTCCTCTGGCAGATATCACAGCTTGCAAACACTTTTCATAGCCAGCTAAAAGTCTTTCAATTCTTGTACTTGGGATCTTCTCCCATTCTTCCTTGCAAAAGGCTTCTAGTTCTGTAATATTCTGTGGTCGTCTTGCATGCACAGCTCTTTTAAGATCTACCCACAAATTTCCAATGATGTTTAAATCAGGGGACTGTGATGGCCATTCCAAAACCTTCAGCCTGCGTCTCTTGAGGTATTCCATAGTGGATTTCAAGGTATGTTTAGGATCATTGTCCTGTTGTAGAAGCCATCCTCTTTTCAGCTTCAGCTTTTTTACAGATGGTGTGAGGTTTGCTTCCAGAATTTGCTGGTATTTAGTGGAATCCATTCGTCCCTCCACCCGTGCAATGTTTCCTGTGCCACTGGCTGCAACACAACCCCAGAGCATGATAGATCCACCCCCATGCTTAATAGTTGGCAAGGTGTTCTTTTCATGAAATGCTGCTCCTTTTTTTCTCCAAACATGCCTTTGCTGATTGTGTCCAAAGAGTTCTATTTTAACTTCATCAGTCCACAGCACTTGTTTCCAAAACGCATCGGGCTTCTGTAGATGTCCTGTTGCATACTTCAGACGTTGGATTTTATGATGGGGACGCAGATAAGGTTTTCTTCTGCTGACTCTTCCATGAAGGCCTTGTCTGTGCAAGCATCGCTGCACAGTGGAACGGTGCACCACCACTCCTGAGTCTGCTAAATCTTCCTGCAGGTTTTTTGCAGTCAAATGGGGGTTTTGATTTGTCTTTCTGACCAGCATACGAGCAGTTCTGTCCGAGAGTTTTCTTGGTCTTCCAGATCTCATCTTGACCTCCACAGTTCCCCTGATCTGCCATCTCTTAATTACATTTCTTACTGTGGAAACTGCAAGCTGACAACGCTTTGCTATCTTCTTGTAGCCTTCTCCTGCATTGTGGGCATCAATAACTTTCATTTTCAGGGTCTTACACAGCTGCTTAGAGGAACCCATGGTTGCTGTGTGTCCGCAAGTGTGTGCACAAGGTTTGAAGAGTCAAAGTATTTGTACAGCTTTGAAATTGGCATTTACCAATGACAGCTGTTGCTGTGCATCAGATCTAACGAGCTGATTAAGGTCTGATACCTTGTGAGAGACTTTGAGACTCTGGAACTCTTAGGGTGCCCAAACTTTTGCACCATGCCATAATAATGTTTTTATTTTTTATTTTTGTTCAATTTATGGCATAAGAAGTAACTATGCATCACTGTTTGCTGAAAATATTGTGCATTTTTTCCATTTCCAAGAAAAACTGTTAACATCTGTTCAAATAAAAAATCACCAAAATCTGTTATTTATCAAGGGGTGCCTAAACTTTTGCATAAGACTGTACATACTTTTGTTTGGGTCAATAGAATATACTGAAAAAAAAACATCAAAGATGTGACAGAAATTTCAGTAGGCGACTGTTCAGAGAATGAAATGTATTGAGCTGTTATGATGAGCTAACAGCAAAGATTAAATCAAATTGTACTAGGAAAACAGACTATCTAAAAGATATACAACATGTCACCACTTCCCTCCACTAAGGAAAAGTTAAGCCAAAATATCAATACTATGAGTGCCATCTTGCTTTTTTGCAATCGGATTCTGCACAGTAGGGACCAGAAGTGGAGTGACAGCATCAGACCACCACTCAAAGCTGTCAAATTAACCAAGACGCACCCCTTTTTATACCATCAAAAGACTTATTACAAACTCATCAGAAAAATGACCACTTATTCACACATCAGTGTGATAGTATCTACTTAAATCCACAGAAGTGATTAACTTGGGGTGGCTTCACTTCTGGGAGCTGTCATGTCGTCCATCTTTTACACAGTCAATGCTTAGGACCTAAAGAAAGAAACTCCAGAGAAATGTTAACTGACTGCAAAAGGCAGGTTAGCATTGCTGTGCTAGGGTGCTGTACAGATTTTCCAGGGTCCAAACATTAAGGAAGTATTCAGACAAAAGCTCCAGCCACTGAGACAAAAAACTCCAAGTCTATTCTTATTTGGGGGGGGGGGGCATTACAGCCCTGA